AGGTATTATAGTTGATCCAAATGGACAATGGAGTCATTGACTTTATAACCTAAAAAATTGACATATTCCTTCTTTTTCACATGCTATGCTCTTCATTATCATTCAAAGTATGCTTTAAGCCATACCATATGGAAGAAGATATGTGATGCTTAATAGGTTGTTTTATTTTTAAGTACATGCTTATAAGAGTAATAACTCATTGTTTGTTAATTAGGATCATGTTCAATCGAATATTGAGACATCCTACTTTAGTAATGCTCTTAATTTTCCTCAAACCAAGTCTACCTTTAGATATAAAAGTATAACTTTTATCCCAGAAGATAGTGAAAAGTTTTCTTTTATCAATGTCGCATGTCCACACAAAGTTTATACAGGACCCATCATGGAAAGAAGATGTCATTTCCAGGTAGATAACTTAGTTATTACCTTGTTTGAGATAACTTGAAGATGTCTGACTATAGACTTTTCTTTTAAAATAGGTACTTCAAGGTAGTCAAAAGGGGTTTGACCAATGTTAAAGTCAAACATAGTAGCTAAGTTGTTGAACCTTGTATGGTTGACTCTTGTCTTATTATCTTGTACTTGATAGGGATGATATGTTGTCCTGAGTTTTGTCCATACTATTGAAGAATATTATGGATGCTTCTTGCCTTCATCCTAGTGGCTTTGCAAAGTTAATTATATGAATAAAAAACAAATTATGGCTAGGAATAGTTGTATTACTTGAAGTTATGCAATTACTTTTTACTTGATCCACCAAACTACCTATTTGTATGTTGAAAGCTTCCATTACAAAGCGAAACATACAACTACAAATAATATATTTAACAACGATCGTAAAGGAGATATAACTACGGTTGGGGGTCTATGGTAAAGCAGCGTGTGGTTGTAAGTGGACTACTTACAATCACAGTCTACAACTCATGGTAATAAGCTGACAAACGTGTTACAAATTACCACGATTGTAATAAACAACCTTAGAGAGATGCTTTAAGGTAATGAGTTTGATACCCAACAATGTCATTTGGAAGGGGGGAGGGGGTGGTGGTTAAAGTGAATAACACACTTACATATAACAACCATGGTGAAATGCTTTGTTTTTTAATATAATTTTTTATTTTACCGAATTGCCTAATTTTTAACCTGTATTTTTAAATATTTTTTTATATTTTACATAATTTCCTAATAGAGAAAAAACAACAACACAAACTAACTCTGAACCACACCTATAGTTGTCAACTAAAATGACTCAAAAATTGTATTACATTAAAACCAAAAAATGTATTTATCCAAAAATAGTATATTACATCAAAATTAAAATGGTACAAAATAACATACGATTTACATATCATTACATCAAATAATATCTACAACATGAACAAGGAGCCTTATCTCTTGGTGTCTTGACTTTAAACACCTATAATTTCAAATAATAATACTTGTTAGTAAATAACCTTAAAAATTATAACATACAATAAATTATGAATAAACAATTAAAAAATTTACTTGTTAATTTTCCCATATGCCATATTCATGATTATTATGAATAGTATGCACATCATCTCTATCAACTTCTTCATATGAAGTAGGCACTTGTGTTCCGTAAGAATGAGTCTAAGGAATATCAAAACTTAAATCATGATTTTCATCACTATGCAAAATCCGTTTTCCTTGGAGAACAATGATAATATTTTGTCAGAAGGGTCAGTTACATAAAACACTTGTTTTGCTTGGGTAGCCATGATGAATGATTTGGTCATATAAGTTTCCTTTCCAAGGTCAACCCGTGTGAATCCTAACTCATCATTTTTTACACAAATTTTATTGTCAAATCACTTGCATTTAAATAAAGACATTTTGAATAAAACATTATCAATCTCCCAAATCTACTAAATGACCTCAAAGTATGTTCTAGATGCGAATATATGATTCTTATCTTTCAAACTAGAGAAATACATGGATTTGGGAAATATGTCAACCATTTAATTGTCCCGGATGCACTATCATCATTAGAAATCTTTTCACTAATTAACTAACTTATGAAATTACTGTTATGCTCTTTCAACAATCACTTGTCACTCATTCGGGGATACAAACATGCTTGAAGAACTAATACCAAGGAATTTAAATAATGTTTAAACCTTGAGTACCTCTACCTCTATATCTATCAACATGTTGAGACTTTGGAATTTTTATAGACTCTGCTTCTGACAAATAGTTTGAACGTAACTCAAAAGCTTCTTATGTGATATACCTTTCAAAGTTCAAACCTTCCGGTCGATGATGAATCTTCATATATCCTTTAAAGATCTTAATGTATTGCTCTATTGGATACATCCACCTTAAATAAACTGGACCACAACATCTGATTTCTCTGACTAGAGGAACAATTAAGTGAACCATAATGTCAAAAATGATGGAGGGAAAGACATCTCCAATTGACACAAGATTATTGCAACCTCATCTTCTAACTCATCTAATTTTTTGAAATCAAGAACTTTATTACATATAATATTAAAGAATAAGCATAATATGGTTATAATTACTCTTACATTTTTTTGTAGGATGCCACAGATAGCCAATGGTAGAACTTGTTGCATCAAGACATGAAAATTATGATATTTTAAGCCAATTAACTTGAGATATTTCATTGGTATAATTTTCTTGATGTTTGATGAGTAACCTTGAGGAACTTTGATGCCAAGAAAACACTCGCATACAATTTTATTTTCCTTTTTAGATAGAGTGTGACATGTCGGAGGCAAATAAGTTCTTTTTCCTCTTTCTTCGGGAGCCAACTTTTGTCATATACCCATCTCCACCATATCTAAACAGAAATTCTTACTATCTTTAGTATTTCCTAAAATTGTTTATAAGTGTTCCTATCAAACTATTACACACATTTTTCTCCACATGTATCACATCAAGACAATGTCTTGCATCGAGGCTAGACCAATATGGGAAATCAAAGAACACCGATCTCTTTTTCTAAATATTTCTCTCAATAGGAATTTTATCATCCTTTCCAAAGACAATAATAAGGTGTTCTTTTACTTGATAAACTTCACACATGTTAAAGGTTTAAGAGTGATTTCAAACTCATGCTCTCCGTTAAAAGCCTTCCGCAATCTACGATAAGGATGATTGGGTTTAAGAAATTTTTGATGCCTAAGGTAAACAATCTTTTTTCGAAACTGAAGTAGGTGAAAACAAGTATTAGATTCATATATAGGACACACTTCATGTCCCTTAACACTAATCCAACCAAATTACCATATGCACAAAAGTCGTTGATTGTGCAAAATAACATGACACACATTTTAAACTTTTCACTTGAATAAACATCATCAACGTCAATGCCTTCATCCTACAAAAGTCTTAAATATTTAATTAATGGAATTAGATACATATCTATGTCACTTCCAGGTTGTTTAGGTCCTAAAGTCATCACTGATAACAAGATATGCTTGCGCTTCATGCACAACCAAGAAGATAGGTTGTAAATCATGAGTAGAATAGGCCACAAAGTATGATTAGTACTTAGATTACCAAAAAGGTTCATTCTATCCATGGTAATCCCAAGCCTAAGGTTTCTTGGCTCAAGGCCAAAATCTAGAAACAACTAATCAACTTTATTCCATTGCAAAGAACCAGCTACATGGAGAATATTTCCATCACATTTTCTTTCATCTGCATGCCATGTAATATTCTTTGCATCATTCCCATTAGCAAAATGTCTCTTCAAACTTGGAATTATTGAAAATTACCATACCACTTTAGCAGGAGGGCCCTTCTTGCTAACATCCTCACAATCATCACCACTATTGTCCTTCACCTTATAACGCGACTCACCACATTCTGGACATTGATCCAAATTTCTATACTCTTCCCGATATAATATGCAATCATTATGACATGCACATATGTTGATATACTCTAAACCCATTGGACACAATATCTTCTTGGCCTCATAGCAAAGATCCAATAAACTCTTATCTTCTGGTAGCATTTGTTTTATAAACTCAAGAAATTCCATGAAACTTTTATCCGTCCACCCACTTTTGCCTTTAGGTTAAACAATTTTAACACTGCAGACAATCATGTAAAACTTATGCACCCCTTGTATAAAGGAGCATCCTTATCACTATATAAAGTATCATAAATATGGGCTTTCCTAAAATAAGATTCTCCAATATCATGAATAATATATTCTAACCGATCATCTGTATCTTCATCAGCTTTATGTCTTTCTAACTTTGCATTTTGATTTATATAGACTCACCATGCCACGTCTATATTGTATAATTTTAAAAAATTCTATCATTGGTTGTTTTATATAGACTCACCATGCCATGTCTGACGTTGCTTAAGATGCTGAAGTAGATGATTGGCCCCTATTAATTGGTTGTTTTATGGCCCTTCCGTGAGATGATTGTTGGAATGCATTACTGGCTCCTTGTGTAACTTGTTGGGATGTATGACTGACTCCTTGTGAAGCTTGTGTTGGTGGTTGTTGGGATGTCTTCTTTGATGGTTGTTGGGATTCATGAGTGACTCCTTGTGAAGCTTGTGTTGACGGTTGTTGGGATGGCTACTGGGATGGCTCTTGGCTAGATGGTGTCACCTTGCAAGTAAGCTTGTTATGACCTGTTTCCATCATGTATGTCCTTATTTCTTCCACCATGGTTATCAATGGCTTGGCTCTAGAATCCAGGATTACACTATTAAATGCCTCAGACATGTTATTGAGAACAACATCACATTTGTTATGTGTCTTAAAGTATGGTCTACTTCAATATCTGGGTGAGGTGCTCATCATGTGCTTGTAGGCATCTATGTTGACATCCTTCATTCCTTTCATCTCTCTTTCCCAGGCTTGGTAGTATGTTGACTTTGCTTCCTTCCAAATGATCTCCTTCAACATCTTACCAGGATATCTTTTCCTGAAATTGTTATAGAGATGCCTGACACAAAATCTTTGCTCAACTCTAGGTAGCAGTTCATCCAAGGTAGGTAATAATCCTTATGCAATCAGTTTTAAAAACACATAAAACATAAGTGTAACAAGTAAGAACATAAGCATAACAAGTAAAAACATAAGCATAACTAAAATAACATAAGTATACCTTTTGTTGATCAAATATAAAAGTGTATGTGAGGTACTTTTCTCTCCCACCAAGGTCATCAATAAGAAGCTCCAAGAACCATGTCCACCTTGTTCATTATCATCATTTCCATCAGTTTCCATTACATCTTTTTCCCTAACAACATTTTCACTAACAACATTTTCCATAACATCATTTTCCCTTACACTATTCTTACCAGTACCATCACCTTCCATCAACTCAGTTTCCTTCAAACCCCCATTAATTACTTCCTCATACATTACAACAATGACTTATTTAGTCTCAACCATAATTTCATTTTGCTCTACTACTATTTCATCAAGAGGACCATCATAGTAATCAGGTTGTGATAATGTGTGTTGAATATAGATATCAACACTAAGATGCACCCTATAGAGATCAACAATCTCTAGGGCACCTTTGTTATTAACCAACAAGTTCATCCCAAAGGTTGGATCCCTAAAATATATCTTCTCAACCGAATTGTACTGTAAATCCTTAAAACATCATAACAATTCAAAATAACTTCATCTATCATCATTTATTTTCAACTCAACAACCTCACTCGTTCGTACACACTCAATTCGTCATTAACAAATTCACCACTGTGGTGGATTTTTAGGTTCAAATACTCATCCATTTCAACCTATGTCCTAAAAAGAAGCGTAGGAAAAAAGACAGATTTCAGATACGAAGTTGATAACCCTAAAACTATAAAATCCCTAAAACAAACAAAATATTTTGTTCTCTCACTTAAATCACTATAAGCCATACTTGGTTGTCTTCAATTTCAACTTGAAGAGTAGAGATTGCGTCAAATCGCAGCAAAATCGCCTTTAACATGCAACAATGGCTATGCTAGGGTTCCACTTCCTTTACATCATTTCCTTCTGAGAACAATGCCTTCGTTTCACTTCCCCAATCCTAAAAAGAAGCACAGGAAAAAAGACAGATTTCAGATACGAAGTTGATAACTCTAAAACTATAAAATCCCTAAAACAAACAAAATATTTTTTTTCTCTCACTTAAATCACTAGAAGCCATACCTGGTTGTCTTCAATTTCAACTTGAAGAGTAGAGAATGCGTCAAATCACAATAAAATCGCCTTTAACATGCAACAATGGCTACGCTAGGGTTCCAATTCCTTTACTTCATTTCCTTCTGAGAACAATGCCTTCATTTCACTTTCATTTTCTTTTTTAAGTTTACACATTCCACATGACATCCACATGGCATGAATACTCACACATCAACCCCACGTGTGCGCCAATTGTACAATCCCATTGACTTTGACTAACAGTGTTGACGATAAGAACTAATGTGGCACCATTTTAAAACTTAAGGGATCACTTTGGAAATTTTTTAAATTAAGGGACCAAATTGGACCCCGAGGTAAACTTAAGGGACCAATTTGGGTATTTTGCCAAATTAAAAAATCTATAACTTTTCCATTGATGAGTTATTTTATAGATATTTAGATTTATGTGACTAATAATTTATAGTAACAATTGTTGGATATTTTAAAGAAAAATACATTATCTAAATATACATCACGAAAATAATTTAAATCAAAATCAAAATTAAGCAAAAAAGCATAACTTTACATATTAGCGAAATAAGAAAAGCAAAAAAACAATATTAATAATAAAAGTAAAAATTGTCAAAAAAGATTTCAGATACGAAGTTGATAACCCTAACACTATAAAAATCCCTAAAACAAACAAAATAATTTTTTCTCACTTAAATCACTAGAAGCTATACCTGGTTGTCTTCGATTTCAACTTGAAGAGTAGAGATTGCGTCAAATCGCAGCAAAATCGCCTTTAACATGCAACAGTGGCTACACTAGGGTTTCACTTCCTTTACTTCATTTCCTTCTAAGAACAATGCCTTCGTTTCACTTCCCCAGTCCTAAAAAGAAGCGCAGGAAAAAAGACAGATTTCAAATACGAAGTTGATAACCCTAAAACTATAAAATCTCTAAAACAAATACTTTTCTCTCTCTCTCACTTAAATCACTAGAAGTCATACTTGGTTGTCTTTGATTTCAACTTGAAGACTAGAGATTGCGTCAAATCGCAGCAAAATCACCTTTAACATGCAACAATGGCTACACTAGGGTTCCACTTCCTTTACTTCATTTCCTTTTGAGAACAATGCCTTGATTTCACTTCCCCTTTCTTTTTTAAGTTTACACATTACACATGGCACCCACATGGCATGAATACTCACACATCAACCCCACGTGTGTACCAATTGTACAATCCCATTGACTTTGACTAACAATGTTGACGGTAAGGACTAACGTGGCACCATTTTAAAACTTAAGGGATCACTTTGGAAATATTTTAAATTAAAGGATCAAATTGGACCCCGAGGTAAACTTAAGGGACCAATTTGGGTATTTTTCCAATTAAAAAAATCTATAACTTTTCCATTGATGAGTTATTTTATAGATTTGGTGCCTTAGACCACTCGCCATCCTGACTTGTGATGCTAATTTTGTTACAAATAATAACATATATTATTAACACCTTATACCACTACTAATATTAAAAAAACATATTTAATTTTGTATTATAAAGAGAAATTCACATGCAAGCTTATCTTAAAGCACAAGGTGATGATATTTAGAATGGTGTTGAAAATGGTCCTCACATTCCCATGAGTGTTGTTAATGGCGTTGGTACACCCAAGATCAAAAATTTACGGGATGATGAAGACAAAAAGAAAGTACTATTTGACAAGAAAACAAAGAACATGTTTCAATCGACGTTCATAATGGATGAGTTCTTTCGTGTCTCCCAATGTAAAACATCGAAATAAATAAAGGATATGTTAGAAGTCACTCATGAAGAACCGTGGAAGTGAAAAGTCAAACTTGAACATATCATCTCAATAGTATGAAATGTTTAGGATGCAACCCGCAAAATCAATTATTGACTTGCAGAAAATATTCACACATTTGACAAACCATTTAATGGTACATGGTAAGATGTTTTACTAATGATGAACTTAATATTAAAATTCTTGGATCTTTAACTAGAGCATGGCAACCGAAAGTGACGACGATATCAGAAAAAAGAGCCTATCCAAAATGACTTTCGCAACATTGTTTGGAAAACTATAAGAGCATGTGATTGAACTTGGAAGACTAGAGAAGCATGTGACTCAAGAGAATAAACCCAAGAGTATTGCTTTAAAAGTTGATTCAAAAGAAAAATTAGAAGAAGAAATTCTGGATGAAGATAAGAAAATCACTATTCTTGTAAAAAGGTTTGGCGAATTTATCCAAAATGATAAAACTTTAAATTTCGATAAAAGGAGGAAGTTTTTCAAGAAGAATGAGACATATACTTCAACACAAAATTTTACATGCTTTAAATATGGAAATCAAGGACAGATAAAGGCGGATTCCCCCAAGCTCTCTAAGAAAAGTGATCACCAAGGGAGAAAGGAATCAAAATCTAAGAAGGCCTACATAGCATGGGATGAAAATGAAGTGAGTTAATGGTAAACCATGAATTAATTTCATCACATCATTCTGATGAATGATGATGAAGATGTTGAGGTTAGTAACAAAAAACTTTCTTATGATAATGTTGCACAAGAAATAAAAGAATTACTCAATAAATGTAAAAGTTGGTACAAAACATTGTTAATACAAAAGAAACAAATTTCATCTCTTAAAGAGATAATTGACACTATGCAAAAATATTTTGAAAAATTAAAACAGAATGCTACATGCAATGATTGTAACTCTCTTTCCTTCAGAATTGTCCACTTAATCGTAATAACACAAATGTCACACTAATGCTACACACATTCTCGCATACAATTTTTGTTATAGAACAACATTCACACAACATTATCACATACATAGAACCTACATTCACACAACCTTATAGAGGTTCATCCACACACATTACATAGGAATGTGATTTTTTAATCGATTTTTATTCACAACATTATAACATTTAACCACACCAAAATCTAAAACTCAACATGAATTTTGATAAAGGTGATGAAATAGATAACGTACTGTAAATTGAAGAAAAGATTATGACCAAGAAACCTCCGCGTAAAATCTCTGTGCACCTAATGGACTTTGATAAAACTCAACCTTCATGCGTGTGCGACAATAGTAAGCTAAAGAACATGAATGGTGTTAAAGGTGATGAAGTTTAGAAGTTTTGCTATCACTTCCGTCTGTGTTCTTCGCTACGACACTTGTGTTATGAAAGAACTAAACTACATTTGACATGATTTAATTTTTAAGAAACACATTTCGTGACGGCTGAGAAGACTAACCGTACTAAAACATATTAATTTTAGGTGACATATAACCACCAGTAGGGCTGGCAATGAACCGAACAAACTCAAAAATAGTTCGGAATTCGATTCGACAATTAAATCGTTGAACTAGGTTCATGAACCAAATGAGTTGAGTATGAGCGAAAAATTAAGTTCGTTAACTAAATGAGCTGAACTTGAACTATACATAGTTCGACTCGTTAGGTTCATGAGTCAACTCGATTACATATGAGAAGAATTATACTGTCTTTAAGATTAGGTTTAAATATTTACTCCAAATCTTAGACAAATTTAATCTTCAATTTAGTAGTTTTTAAATTAGACTCTCAAATGTATCTCTTGAAAGTTGTGTAGGATTTGAATTAGTAGATTTCGAAGATAAAGTTAAATTTCAATATGATAATTTTTATTTTATTTTAATATTTTATTTAAAATATATATATTTATTTAAATTGTCAAATATACTAAAAAATATATATATATATATATTAAAAAAAAATAGTTTTTAAGTCCGTGAATCATGTGAGCTGAACCTAATGAGATAAACCTAACGAGTTGAACCGAATTGTTCGTGAACTTATAACGAGTCGAGTTTGAGCTTAAAAAAAAGTTCGTGTCAAACTCGAACTCGAACCAATTCTTAATGAGTCGAGCCGAGCTGAGGTGAGTTCGACTCGACTCGATTCATTTCCAGCCCTAACCACCAGTGAAAAATAAAACCATGGGGAGATTTTTTATATTTTTTTTGTATAAATATAGAAATTAATAGATACACACTTCATTGTATAGATAAAATGGAAATATATTGGGGTTGGGAATCGAAGTATGTAAGACTTAATATATAACCATGATTATTATTAAGGACAGTTGTGATAAATCTTTCAATAAAGTAAAGACGCCTAAAAGAGAGATATTATTTCGGTTGATTGATGAAACGAGATAAAA